TTTGTAGGAAATTGCTTCCCCCCTCCACCATCCACTTCTGCCGCTGTCGGGGAAGGATAGCAAGCTAGATGGATCACTGGTCTGACTCAGCCCGGCTCTGCTTAGGTTTTTATAGCCTCCGGGCAAACTGCAGAGGTTTTCCCAGCAGGTGTTGTAATTACCCCCGAGGGATGATTTTTGACATGCATGAACCAGATTTGCCCAGGTGAGTCACCTTTCCAGCACCCGGGCTCTGAAGCTTGCTGCGGTTGTATCTGTTCATTCAACAACGCCTGAGGTTTCAGGTTTTACGGGGTTTTGCAGGTGTAGAGCCCTTTCATAAGCCCTGCCTAAAACCCCAGGGCTGGTCTCGTCTGGGACCTCTCCAGATCCGTGTATTGTCTGCGTAACATTCAACAGCTCCCTGGCCTTCAGATGTCAGCCCGGTACCTGCAGGGAGCTCGGGAACCTGGAGCCGCTGCTGCAATCACCAGTGATTTCTTCTCCTGTAGGCAGGGCAGCTGGACATATTCCCTTTTACAGCTTCATTCAGATCCCGTGGATCCAGCTGTGATCTTATTTCACCTCACCCTCATTTGTCTACATTTATAATAGTCGGACTCACCCACAGGTCCTTGCCCTTTGCCTACGACATGCACCTGTCCAACATGATGGGACTCTTTTTTAACTCTATCTCTCAGGCTTATTTAGTAGGGAACTGGGCGTATTTAGTCTGGATTAGAGAAGACCGAGGGGGGTTGAATAGCAGCTTCACCTCCCTGCAGGGGGTTGCACAGAGGATGGAGCTGGACTGTCCTCAGAGGGGGCAGATGACAGAACAAGGAGCAATGGGGTCAAGCTGCAGACAGAGAAGTTGAGGTTGGAGATTAGGAAGAACTGTCTCACGAGAGGGTGGTGAAACACTGGAAGTTACCCAGGGAGGTGGTGGACTCTCCATCCTTGGAGGTGTTTAAGACCCAGGTAGACAAAGCCCTGGCTGGGATGATGTAGTTGGGGCTGGTCCTGCTTGGAGCAGGGGGTTGGACTAGATGTGACCTCCTGAGCTCCCTTCAACCTTCATTGTCTGTGATTCTGTGATTCAGAAGATAAACCCCGAGATTTCAAATAAGAATCCAGTGTGTTAAACCATTCTGCCTGCTGTGCTTGTTCTACGTTCTTTGCAAAAGAAGAGTTGTTTTGACTCCAGAAAAAATCTCCCAGTTTCAGATTCACCTGGATGACCGCATGGCTAATGGCTGCCCTTCTTCCTGGCCCAGGCCTTTTTATCCCCTCCCTGACCTCAGCAGCCGGTCCAATCGAAGCTGCCAATACTGGCCACAAGCCGACCAATCTGCCAAGCATCCCTGGCTACCTGGGCCCGCGCGCAGGGCCGGGCCTTTCCCCCCCGCCCAGGTGACCAGAGCATCGCCTCCCAGGCGCCAGGCTTTTGTCAGGCAGACAAGGTGGGAGATCCCCGCCCTGAGGGATTCAACAGCAGCCTCTCAGGCTGGCAGAGACAGATCTCTGGAGAGGGGCACCGACGGGGGCATTTCTGCCACACCCCTAGCGACGTATCATGTGTCTGCTCATCTGTTGCTTGAAGGGTTAAAATTGGTGTAGCCTCAAGGTTTTCCCCCCCCAAATTGTACTTTCTGGTGAAAGGACTTTGCCCTTAAAACCACCCTGGATTGCCTCTGGCCCGGGTTTGTTCCATTCCCCTTGCTCACCGGCTTTACGGGCCCTTGGATGTTGCAGTCCCAGACCCCAGCTTGCACACCAGGACATGCATTTGTTTGCCCTGGTTCATCAGCTCCTTCAAATGGTTTTGCTGTTATTTCTTCTGCCTGACAGATGCCCATAGTACAGCGTAGCATTAAATGAAACCCTCCCTGGAAGGGGTCTGGATACAATGCACACCTCGTGGGATCTTTAATGAGGGAGCTGTGTAGTTCCCCAAATGCACGCGTGTGTGCGGCCAGTTTGTAACTCAGTCCCACTTTGCTCGACTCGTGGCCCTTCTCCCCGACCTCTGGTGAAAGCGTTACCAGGACCGTTCTCCCCGGAGCACAGATTAAATCGGTAAGGTTTGCTCTCATTTCCCGTTCTCTGAAGTGTCCTCCCATTGCAAAATAGGAAACGCCTCTGTGATTCCTTCCCTTACTGCTGGAAGCAATAAGGTTGTTGCCCCACCCCTGTTGCACCAGGGGGCTGGGACGCCATCCAGCCGACCTCTCCCAGAGACAAATCACCCCTATTCAAAACCCCAGCGCCAGGCCGGGCACTCTGCAGTTGCTCAATCCATTCAAACACTCTTGCAAAACTTTGCTCGAGATAATCGGCACGTCCCACGGCCTGGACCAGTTCTCCAGGAGGGTCCAGACGTGGCCTGAGAGTTGCAGACGTTGGTTCCTTTTTAATAGTTTCCAGGGTTTCTTCATATTCTTTGCAAAGAGTTTCCTGGCCCCGGATTGAGATCTTGGTTTCTTTCCTGGTGTTCATGCTTCTGGGGCGGCGTTGCTGCTGCCTCAGGTCTTGGTGGCAGCAGGAAGACAGCGGCACCTGGGTGGTTTGCTGCCCTGTTCAGCAACCGGCCAGTCACTAAATGAAGGACAAGGCATTCAGCTGCTGGCTTCTGCCGCCTCCATCCCTTGGCGCAGAGCGGCTCCCTGGTTTCCCCTCCAGCTGGACGCTGGCATCAGAGGTTCCTCATAGGAGCATCAGCACTACCGTGGGCTGGGGCAGACCCTAGGTCCGTCTTGCCCAGCTCCCTGGCAGAGCGTGGAGGCTGGCCAGCAGAGTGAACGGGGTCTGACCGGGGGTTTTCTCCCCCTGTTCCTCTCTCACTTGCAGCCTCCAGCACTTAAGGTCTGGGAAGCTCTGATTTGGAGGCCATGCCCCTTGCTCCCGTGCTCCATAGCTCCTGATGCCCCTTTCCTCCAGGAACGTGTCCAATCCCTGTTTGCATCTGGCTGAACTCACAGCTGCCCCCGTGTCTGGTGGCAACGAGTCCCACCCTTTAATGACACACCGGGTGATAAAGAACTGCCTTGCGTTCATTTTAAACATACTGCCTGCTAGCTTCATGTGGTGACCCCTCATGCTTGAATTGTCGAGACAGTCCGTAATAAACCCCTAGCAACTTTCTCTTCGCCATTTAGTATTTTGTAACCCCTTCTCATGCCCCCGCTCTAGCATCTCTTTTCTATACTGAACGAGCCTGGCCTCAGGAAGCCCCTCCATCATCCTTCTTGCCCTTCTCTGGATCTTCCCTGGTTCGTCTCCATCCTTTTGGAGGCAACAAATTAAACCAACTCTGCTTATTGTGACAAGAGTAACACAAGCCTCGGGGCCCTTGTACACGTCACGAAATTTGCCCTTTCTTGCTTTTCAATGGTGTTACTGTTTGCACAAGTGGGTTTTCCTGATGTTTTAAAAGTTTTCCTGGTGTTCTTGGAGTCCCCTCCTGCCCCATCCAGGTCCTGCCATCATTCGCTCCTCAGAGGCTGGGCTGGATTCACGTTTGCCAACCCCCCAGGATTGCCCTGGAGTCTCCAAGATTTAGATATAAATCTCCAGGAGACTGTTGAGAGTCACTTGGGAGATAAATGATAGGGTACTGAATAAAATAAATGTTGAATCCTATTTATACAGTAGTCCGGTGGCTTTTTAAAATGTAATAGTCATGTGCATTTGCCTTCCTGATGTAAAGTCTACGCACCATAATCTGTAACTAATATACACAAGCATGCGGGCACGTTGGCATTGTGTCGTGGGCATGTTGGCTTTGTCTCTTTAGTCTACTAACTGTGCTACACCGCGACACTTATTTCCACTGAAGGCAAAATGCTGGCTCTGTAGTGAATGACTTTTAGAGTATAGTAGATTCGTCATTAATGTCATTATGTCACGTGATTATCCAGGCCCGTGGTCCTGCTTCCCAGCACTGGTTCCTCTCTATCATTTTTGTGGTGTGGGAACCAGAACTGGGCACAGCTTTGAAAATGTGGACACAACAGGGGTTTCTAAAGGGGCATCGTGATACTTTCTGTTTTGTTCACAAATCTCTTCATCATCATCCCTGATGTTTTCTTTGCCTTTATCCCATATGATGCATCAGTGACTCCCTTGATCCCAGGCCTCAGGCATCTCAGTATAATCTGCCTGCTGTTTCCTGGCTCAATCCTTTGCCCTTTCCGCCAGGGGACAGGCCCGTAGCTCAGACCTCTGGGTCTGGCTAGGCATCAGCTAGGATGCTGCTATACTTTGTGCTTTAAAAAGCCGTGGCAGGAGAGGCACAAGGCTTGGGGCATCTGCACACAACCAGCCCCGCTGTGCTGCTGGCTTGAAGAGACTCGTGTCCTGTGCAGACGGGGTGCAGCACGGGGAAAGCTGGGGTCAACAGGAGACTGAAGCCCCTGAACAAAGCAGCACCTGGGCATTGCTGCAGAGCCTCCAAAACTGAGATCACCCCTATGAAGCAAGGTATCCGGGGGTAAAACCACAGTGTAGGGACTGGAGAGGATTGCCTCACCTGCACCCGAGCCCTTCCAGGACTGGGCTTGGGGCCAGATCCGAGTGGTTTGAACAACCTTAGAAAAACCCCACTGCAGCCAGCACCCCACATCCAAGTACCTGCTCACAAGGTTTGTTCAAGGAGGTGATAGTTCCCCTCTATCGGGCGCTGGTCAGACCGCAGTTGGAGTACTGCGTGCACTTTTGGGCGCCGCACTTCAAGAGGGATGTGGATAACCTGGAGAGGGTCCAGAGAAGGGCCACTCGTATGGTTAAGGGCCTGCAGGCCAAGCCCTACGAGGAGAGACTGGGGCGCCTGGACCTCTTCAGCCTCCGCAAGAGAAGGTTGAGAGGCGACCTTGTGGCTGCCTATGAGTTCATCAAGGGGGCACAGAAGGGAATTGGTGAGTCTTTATTCACCAAGGCGCCCCCGGGGGTTACAAGAAATAATGGCCACAAGCTAGCAGAGAGCAGATTTAGACTGGACATCAGGAAGAACTTCTTCACAGTTCGCGTGGCCAAGGTCTGGAACGGGCTCCCAAGGGAGGTGGGGCTCTCCCCTACCCTGGGGGTCTTCAAGAGGAGGTTGGATATGCATCTAGCTGGGGTCATCTAGACCCAGCCCTCTTTCCTGCCTGTGCAGGGGGTTGGACTCGATGATCTATTGAGGTCCCTTCCGACCCTAGCATCTATGTATCTATAAGGGTGAGGGGGATGAGGAGCAGCTCTGGGTATCCTCGGGTGCATTCCTCTTTTTCACTGAGTTCCCAAAAGTGTCGGAGAGCTGGGGTGTGAACCCCCCGGGATTCAGACCAGACTCCATGTGCCCCCATGCTCAGAGGGGTTTCTCAGCCCAGGCTCACGCCTATTTGCTCACTGCCCAGATAAGCAAGCAGCACCACCCCCTGCACACTCACACCACAGATGGCATTGCAAGGGCGCCGAGGGCCTCGCCAGCTGGGCTTGTTGAGGGCAAGGAGGAGAAGCAATATCACGGTGTGGACAAAGCACTGGACAGGGCCGTGGGGACCGGGGTTCGGCTCCTGCCTCTGCCACAAACTTCCCATGTGACCTTGGGCATGTCACTTTGCAGCTCCGGGCCTCAGCTGCCTATAGGAGGGAAAACAGGTGCATCTGTGATGAGCTACAGGGGCATTTTCCCAGCTCACTGGAGGCAAGAAGAACTGGGACCACTGAGCATGATAAGGTTTTATAAGCCATTATATAAGGCTTGTGTGCCCCTCCTGGAGAGATGGCTTCACTCAGAGGCCTGCAAATGAGCCACGTGTCCACAGTGAACTGCTGGCACTGAGGTGGAAAGGACACCGAGCATCCCACAGGGATCCCCGGACGCTCGCCCACTCGGGGAGCCAGACGGGGACTCTCCCTGGCCCATCAGCTCCAAACACGCAGCAGATGGAAGACCCCAGAGCCAGCCGCAGTGCAGGGGTCTCTTCTCCTTGCTGCTGGGAGGCAACAGGGGGGTGAGAGATTGGTGCACACTGGTGAAAAAATACCCTAACCATCTCCCAGGACACCTCCAGGACCCCCGAGGGCTGGGTGGGGAGAGAGAGAAGACCCACCCAGCTGAGAACAAAAAAAGGTCCCATCCCATTTATCAGCAACGGCACAGACCTGCCAGCCAGAATAAGGGGACACGACCATCCATGGGGAGCAACTCAGGCCCTAACCCAGACACGGACACAGCCCATCGGTGTGGGACCAGCTGGAGAGATGGCAGGCCCCGGCGTGCGGGCGCACGGAGCAGCAGAGGAATTGATGTCGCGTAAGAAGTACTGAACGTCTTTATTCGTGCGAAGCTTGCGGCGTGTACGCACTGAGCCAGGCAAGACAGAAGTGGGCTTAAATGTGCACAAGTCGAAGGACTGACTGCCCGTTATGGAGGAACGAACGGGACAATACAGAGCGCATTCCCTCTCCTGGCGCTGATCGAAATGCAGGGTTTTACACAAGAGCTGTACAGAAGCAGGGGGGAGCAACGTGGTAAATCTGGGGGAATTCGCACCCAGGACTCTGCAGGATCCCTTCTCATCAAACTGGCTTTGTATCCCAGCCCCAGCCTCCCTGCAGCCCATGAATCAGTAGTGAGCAACCCCTGCGATAGTCAAGGTGGAGGGATCAGTGTCTCAGGCGGTCACATCTAGTCCCAAGCAGGACCAGCCCCAGCTACATCATCCAGCCAAGGCTTTGTCAATCCCAGCCTTAAACACCTCCAAGGATGGAGACCCCACCAGCTCTCTGGGCGACCTGTTGCGGTGCTTCACCACCCTCTTCCTAATATCCAACCTCAACTTCCTTTGCTGCAACTCAAGTGCAACTTGAGTCGATCTAAACTGGCCCGGGAGTGGGTGCTGGTCCCGCAGGCGTCCGGCTGCCCAGCTGCTCAGTGCAGGGGGTGAAGCCCACCTGGGCATAAGGAGATGCCCAGGGGGCTTGTGAGGGCATGGGTTAGGGTTAGGGTGGGATTCACTGTGTCAAGCTGTCCTCTGTCTCCCTCGGGGCTGGACACTCGTTGTGGTGCGCAGTTTCCAAGGGAGGCTCGTCTTTCTTCCGCCATCACATGACTCCAGGTGCTGGGGCCGGAGGAAAAGCACCAATTCCCCCGCGACTTGCAACAAGGCAGTAGGAGGTGGGAGCAGGGGCAATCTCTATTGGGGGCCTCAAAGGAGGGTCTCTCTCTTCCCATCCATGCTGGTTTTTATTACACTCAACTCAGGCCATGATTCCCATCAGAGGTGAGCAATTAGGATCCCTGGGGCAGGCCCATCATCCTGAAGAGGCTGGGATCGCCAGCTGCAAGGGGAAAACTTGGCTTCGACCTCAAGCAAAGCAGGTGCCTGAGATGGGACCAGTCTCAGGGCAGGGGATGGGTGGCATTGCGGGTCAACCACCGCTGAGCACCGGCCGTGAGCCGCGGCAGCTGTCCCACGTGGGAAGGGGCGCGAGGGTGGTGTGAGGGGGTGAGCAGCTGCTCCCTGCTGCCCAAAGCAAAGCGAAAGCCAGAAGCGAGTCCAGCCAGCGGCAATGAGAAGCTCCCATGTGATGTGGCCACCCGTCCGGACAAGCGCCAAGGCAGCCTCTGCGAAGGTGTCTGGTGTAGGGCAGGCTCTTGGGGCTCGGGCGCATCAGTCCTGCTCTGGTACCACCTGGGCAGCGAGGGACAGGGAGCCCGGGAGGCGTACGGTCACCTCACGGGGTGCCTGGGGCTTGGGCTTGTTTGCTCGCTGCAAGGGAAATGTTCAGAAACATAAATACATCCCTCAACCCAGCAAAGTCCGGCTTCTCTTCCATGCTCACCCAGGCCATACCGCTACTGCCCCCCCTGGCATGAGCCAACAGCAAAGGGCCCCCCCAGGGGAGCTACCCTCCTTGCAGGCTCCTTCCTGAATACGCTCTGGATTGCAGCACCCCGATCATCTCGGAGATAGTTGCACCCCCCTGCCGCGAGCCAGACAAGCTCGCTCAGCCCAGCCCAGCCCTGATCCCACCCTCTCCAGCAAGGAAAAGCCAGGAGACAAGGCTGGAGGGAGCGGGGCGGGGGGGACGGATGGGAAAGCCCATGGATGTTGCAGGAGCTGGGGGCTCGTGTCCACGCAGCAGCTGCGACCACAATACAAGGACACGTCTCTGATACCCCGAGACCTGCCTGAGCATCGTGGCCAGGACCAGCCTGCTCCCCACAGGGGCAGCTGCGTAGCCCCCGCCAAAGCCCCCGCCTGGGCTCAGCGACTGACCTGCTGCGGGACGCAAGTCACGGACGTCAAAGGGGCCTCTTGCACGAAGTCCAGAACAGAGACCTGGGCCGAGCACTGTCTGACTTGCTGGGGAAAGGAGGGGAAGGACACGGGTAAGGGCCTTTCAATGGCCAAGCGTTGGGGAAGGATCTCCAACCAACCCTCCAGGGATATCAGCACTCCGGGGAAATGAATGCTTAGTTTTAAAGCAAATGGATTGAAGCTGTGCTTGAGGCTGCATCCGAGCGCCGGGTCCCGCTGCGTCTACAGCTATGCAGAGACACAGCGAGAGACAAAGGCAGAAAGCAGGGCGAGGTGGCACCTCTTACACCGGGGTGGCGTGCGGCAGATGCAGGAGCAGACAGGGCAGGGAGCAGACAGCAGAGCAGCAGCGTGGGCAGGGTGCAGAAAATGAGCAGCAGATCAGGTAAGGGAAAGGGATTGGAGTGGCATTTGGGGAGGGCATGGGGCGACGTCGTGGCACACCTGCCAAATGTTTGGCCTCCAATTATTGACTTTGGTAGGCTACAGCCCGCTTCACCACGTGCCTCCGAACACCTGCCCGGCCTCCAGCGTGACTCCAGGCTCGCCCGGCTCACGACATCTGAGAGACGCGGGTTTATGATTGAACCCAAGGATTACAGCGAAATTAGACACGCCGCCAGCCTCGCCTTTAACTCATGCAGTGCTACCCCCGCAAAATTCAACTTAACTAGTTAACGGTTCAACCATGTGCTACGCAGCCCCGGGCTTCTCTAGACACGAATCGCCCTGCGCGTCCATCGGCTAACGAAAGTCGCGCCTCTCTCTGTTGAAAGAGCCGTGCCACCGCCGGCACCTTTTGGAGGAGGCCATTGCACCAGGTACCTCTAGGGTCACCTATCCCCTACTCGATACCCTCCCCGGATCCACCCTTATTGGCTGAGAGATGGCAGAGGAAACCTCTCCATCTCCTCCGTTCAACAGCCACGACTACATCGTGCCTCCATGAACTGATCCAGTCCCGTGCTGAACCTGGCTGCGCTCTCTGCCTCGCCCCCATCCTGTGGCAACGAGTTCCACGAGTTAACGACGCGCTGCATAAAAAACCCTAATCTCTGTTGTTAGTTTTAAACCTCTCTCCTACTAATTTCACTAGCACTCAGCTCGCTGGGTCCAATCATCTCCGGGGACGTCAACCTGCGGGAGCTCCTTGTTACTCAACGAGAGCGACCGGCGTCGGCCTGCTCGAGAGGGAGCGGGTGTCTTGAAGCACGAAGTCTTGGCAGCGACAGGCCTCATCGGGACACCGATCAGCATACGCTGCTCACACAAAGGCCTGACTTTCCTACCATGCTGTAAGCAAATAAAACATCCCTGATGGGGAGCAAATGGGGCGACCAGTGGTGCCGGCTGGCCTGTTCTCCATCAACCCGGCAGCTGCTACTATGGGCGCTGGGCTGGGATGCAGGAGGGCTGGGCACTGCCACTGACTTGCTGGATAACCATAGGCAAGTCACAGTTGCTAGAAAGCTGCGTCCAAAAACTCAACCTAAACCTCCCTGGTGGCATTTTCAGCCCGGGACTTCTTGTCCTGCCCCCTCTGGAGCCAGAGAACAGCTGGTCGCCCTCCTGGTTATGAAAATCCTCGCTGTAGTTGAAGGCTGTTATCAAATCCCTGCCTCCGTCTTCTCTTCTCCAGACTGGGAAATCCCACTTCTTCTACCCTTCCCTCGCAAGCCACGTTCCCCAGAGCTCGAATCATTTTTATTGCTCGTTGCGGGACCCCTTCCAATTTGTTGGCATCTCTCTTGAAGCGCGGTGCCCAAAACTGGACACAGGTCATAGACAACGAGGGTTGAAGGGAGCTCAGGGGGTCACATCTAGTCCGACCCCTGCTCCAAGCAGGACCAGCCCCAACTGCATCATCCCAGACAGGGATTTGTCTTCAAAACCTCCAAGGATGGGGACTGCACCACCTCTCTGGGTAGCCTGTTCTAGTGTTTTACTACCCTTCTTATGAGAAAGTTTTTCCTAATATCCAGCCTCAACTTGCCTTGCTGCAGTTTGAGCCCATTGCTCCTTGTCCTGTCAGCTGGCATTGCTGGGAACAGTCCAGCTCCACTTCTTCAGGGGCGATCTTCCTGGGTGCCCTGATCTTGGCAGCACCCCATCAGTAACTACAATCAGCCCTTCCTTACTTGCATTTAGTAAGATAACAGCTAGGCGAGCAAGTCTTGGAAGGGGAATCTCTCAGTGGGGCAGGTTCGGGGCAGGTTTCAGGGCTGGTGCGGTTTCACACTTAATCGATCCTTAGGGTGAATGGAAAACCACCCAGCCCACGGTGCAGTGGGAACACCAACAGTGCCAGCCCCGTGGGACCATCGTGGCCTTATGGCTTTGTGTTGTGACTTCGGGGTACGCTGCAGAGAGGGGACAGGTGCAAAGATCAGTGCGACTCAAGCTATAGGAAGCTGGGTCTGTCTGCCGGGAGCCGTGGCCAAGCAAAGCACCGATTCCTCCCCCGCCTCCCCGCGGTGGGTCTAGACCAGCCGTGCGAGAGCCCCCAGACTCGTAGGAGGGTAAAGCAATGCAAAACGTGGCTCGAAGCACGCTGGATGCAGCCTTTGTCCTCCCCACCACAGACTCCCAAGCCAGGGGGGCATCGGATGAAGGGAAAAGCTTTTCCATGCATCAGCCTGCAGAACTCATTGCCACGTGTACACTTACCCCGCTGGGCCAGTATCGGCAGTCCTCGATGCGGTAGCTGGCCATGCTCTTCCGGCAGGTTGTCTCCTTGATGGTGAAGTTGATGCTGAAGTGCATGCCCCATTCAAATTTCTACGGTGCAAAGACAAGGGGCTCAGCCTCCGGCGAGCAAGCGGCACCTTTCTGAGGAAAGCAAGCTGAGAGCGAGCGAGCTACCCACGCCTGCATCCTCCCTTCACTTGCTTGCAGCTGGCTGGCAGGCAAAGGCATCCCTGCCCCGGCATGGGGAGAGTAGTGTAGGGACCTGCACGGTAGTGCTGTCCCTGCCTTCCCACACCTCTGAGGTCATGGCAGAGACAGGAGTAAATGCATGCCAGAAGCCAGCCAGTTTTTGGGACCTCCGCTTGTGCCCATCACGACGGCACCATCCACTTGCTAAAGCAGGGGCAGCCCCAGCTCTGCTCACTCATCCAGGAACACAAGCCAAGCTGCTCGGCTTCATGCATTTGTCAAACGAGGGGTGGAAGAGCGCGCGGTCCCAGCTGGAAGAGCGCGCCCACATCCCCTGCCCCTGGCGAGGCACGTTCAGCGGCAGAGCTCTGGTATCCGCATCACGGCGCCGATGCCACCGCCTCCCCCGAGCATCCTGGTGATGTTACGACATGCACCGGGGCCCGGCTTGGCCCGCTCAGGCCCACGCCACAGCACCCTTTGCACAGGTCCTGGAGCTGCTGGGCTGGTAAATAGACCCCGCCACCACCCCTCCTCTATAAACACCGCGTGTTTGATCTGGAGCCCAGCCAAGCGCCGCGGCCTTGCGGCTCTCCAAAGCGGACCCCCCTCCGCCGCTCTCCATGGCTCCCTGATCCTCTGCACTGCAACAGGGCAGGGGAAGAGTTTGGGGTGATATCTCGGCCATCGAGCCCTCGGCAGCTAGATCCGTGCAAACCCCTGGAGATGCTCCTTTGGGTTTCCCCAGGGCTCGTGTCCTGGCCCCAGACCAGGTCAACCTCAGTGCATCTCCCCTGGGGGCTTGCTCAGAGCTTGGCCAGGAGGATGCATTGCTTTCCTACTGCCCCTCTGCTCCCCATAAACCCACCCTGGCCTCTGTGCCCCCCGGGCAGCCATTGCCCCTAGGGCTGCCCCACAGCTGCGGAGGAGCGTTGACCGTCTCCTACCGTTTTGTGGACGTTTTTGAGCTTGAGTAGCCTGAACACGGCGCGTGTTCCCGCCTCCTGGTTATACACCTCCACGGCAGAGCGAGCCACGTCTTGGGGGGCTGGCGAGGCGGGCACGGCTGCGATGCACGCCCCCAGGCACGCCAACACCGCCGCCACGAAGAGCACCATCGCTGCCCCTCTCCGCAGCTGCACGCGCGGCCAGGTCCCCGACGGTCCTCCCACGGGAACCAGGCTGGGCGGCTTTATCAGCGAGGCAAAGAAAAAAAAGAGCAGGGAAAATAAATGAGGCTGGATGGGGGGTTTTTGGCAGGGCTTATCGGGGCCAAGCTGCGGGCTGGTGCAATGGGCGTCTTATCTCCTGCTCTGAGCCCAGGGTTTGCTAAAAGGGAGTATTTATGCAGTTGGAAATCATTCGGCCTTGGCCGAGGGAAGCCTGCAGCGAAAGCCTGGACGTGCAAAGGGTCATCGCCCCCCCTTGTTTCCAGAGGAGGTTCCCAGCGGATCCAAACAAGCCAAGATGCCAGAAAGTCCGGCTTTCTGCTGAAATCGTTAGCAGCCGGAGGCGTTGTGCCCTTGCTCCGGGGCCAGGCTTGTGGTGCAATGAGGGAGGGGGGCTTTGCAGGGAGTTTGGGGGTGGTGGGGCAGACGTAAGGCATCCTCCTGCTGAGACCAGCCCGCTAGGGTGCCCCAGCCAGCTCGACCCACTGTCCAGCTGTCCCCAAGGCTTAAAACCAGGCTAACGCTTAACCAGCCTGGCAGCGGGGTCCTGGGAGGATGTGTGTGTAATGGCAGGTGTCCATGGACTTTTTTTGGCCTTATAGCAAAGGCTGAAGGCCAAGCCAGAGCCTCCTACAAAATGCATGGCCCAGAGGCCAGTTTCTCCAGCACTGCTTTTGCCTTTGGTCGTGCCCAGGCTTCAAGGCTTTGCACTGCGGGAAGGATTTTCCCCCCACATTCCTGTTATTACAGGGGTCCCAAGGGTTTTTTGCCATCCTCAGAGGCGCTGGGTGTGGGCTGCAGCCTGGGCTGGCAATGCGGACCGGGCTGCACCAGTGCTCTGGCTGGGACTCAAAGCCGGAGGGTCCTGGCTAGAGGGTCTTGCACCCCCCTTGCACAGGGCCAAATGCTGCTGTTGCATTGGAGGCAAGAAAATTTTACCCCCTAGCTTGGTGCAGGCATGGGAGAGGGTGTTTGCCTTCCTCTGTTGCGGGGGGCTTGGATCGCTTGAGCATATTTTAATACAACCCTTGTAGGCAGCATCCCTCTGCTTTACCTGTGGCAGGGTAAATGCCTTGATGTTGCATTAAACTGGATTGTGTAGTTGTAGTAATAAGTTAGGGCGGGGGTCCCAAACTGCGGTACAAGTACCCCAAGGGCACGCAAGGCATTTAGTGGGAGGGTGGGGAGAAATGCAGGAGAAATTGTATAATGGCAGATTTCATTTTCATTTTAATAATTGGCATTTAAGGGGCTAAAATATCAAATGCATGTTGGTAGGGGGTAAATTGGGAAGGGGGTGTGTAATAAGAAAAAGTCTGGGAACCTTTGGTTTAGACGATGGATGCGTCTGGGACTGTTTGGACAGGGATGACCTGGCCTCCGGCACGGGGTTGGAGCAGAGGACCTCTGGAGAGCCCTTCCAGCTCCCTTTGCTAAGATTTTACAAAGGCATCAAATCTGCTTCTCGCAGATGGATAATCTGGCGTAATGCCTGGGACTCCATCGTGGCTCGATGGCTCGGGGATGGGAGCGTACGACCTGCACCACGCTGGGACACGGGCTTGGGAGAGGGAAACCATGTCACAGCTGCACCAGGCAGGATTTGGACCCATCTCTCCCCTGACAAAATGTAGGAAATCCTACCCCGTTCCCTCATTGCCCCTTTCCTATTTTGCCTGCGCTCCCGCTCCACATCCCAGAGCCTCCCAGTGCAGGGAAATGCCACGCTCTCCCCTGGGAGGTCACCTCAACCCACGTCCCGGCACGCTGGGGGATGAAAGCAAAGGCCCTGCTTACAGGAAAAGCTGTTTCTCAAGGGGTCGTGCTGGAAGCACGTGGGAGCCCCAGCCTTTTAAAGGGGGCCGGTTGGAAAAACAAAAATCCTGGCTCAAAGGGGAAAAAAAACGCAACATTTCGACATTGTGAACCGTTTCCATGATGAGATGAAATGCGAGGGAGTCTTTTCAAAGTACCGTATTTCTGCACATACCGCACACACCCACGTGAGACACACGGCTTGCTATTGGGAAGGCAAAATTGGGGGGGGGGGAGATTTTCCCAAAAGTATGAGTGCTCAGAGCAGGGACAGGGGTCAATCTTCAGCTCGCCCACCCTCCCTTTCCTGCTCAGCCGGCTCCAACGATAGCTGCCGCTGAAGACCGGTCTCCGTGGGCATATCTCTGAATTTGGAAAGAGCTCAGGACAGCCCACAGGGCTGCCTGTCTCCTCCCCGTCCCAGGGCTGCAGCGCTCAGATAGGAAGCCAGACTACATGATCTCGTGGAGGATTAAGCTTCCCCCGGGACCCCCATACTGAGCTCAGTTGAACGAAAGCATTTCAGTCCTCAGGGGAGTAAGCTGTCTCTTGCCAGAAGCATGCAAGAGATAAGCCCGAGACGTCACGCCAGCGGCCAGCAGCACAAGCCCATGCAATGTCAGGAGGCAAACTCAGCTGCAGCAGGTGGCAAACCCCCCCAAAGCCCCTGGTGATCAGCTCGACAGAGCACAGGAACAAGACACACCAGGCAAGCATCTAAGAGCAAGGCACGGCTATCCTACCCCGAGCTCAGGCCAACTCTGTGCAACGTCCCATTCCCAGATGCGGCCAATTTGATGCTTCAGCAAAGGCAAAGCTCAAGCAATTTTAATTGGCACATGGGGGGTGAGTGGCGATCTTCTCTCACCCCACCTCCTGCTCCTGGCTGGTCACCTACTGAAGCAGGGGACTTCTTGCAGAGCTGCGAGTGCCCCGAGTCGGCTGTGGGTGCTCTGTGCAAACCCCGGCTGCCTCCAAGCGGCTCTCATGCCAAAGAGGTCCCATCTCATGTACTCCAAGCAGTGTTAAGTCCACCATCTCCCTCCATAAGCCACTGCAGTATTGAAGTAACCCCACTGCTAGAGAAATGGAGTCTTATTTCAAGGTGACATTCGTCCAACTTCGACATCCAGCCACTGGGTTGAAAAAGATCCCACTAATCTCTAGCTTTTCCATGCAAGTCACCTCTCAGGGGTCTCTTTTGCACGAGACAAAGCTTTTCTTAGCCTTGCTGTGCTTGCCTTCCAGCTGCCAACATCATTTCTGCGGCTCTCTTCTGATTCCCACCCCAGCTGTGAAGGGTGATGCCACAGCTGGATGCATAGTCGAGGAGTAGTTTCATCGACGGTGGGCAGAGGCACAGTGGGTTGTGCATTTCTCTGGGCTATTCCCTGCTCTCTGCAGGCAAGGATCATCCTATTTTTTGGCCATTGCAGGGTACTGAAAGCTCAAGGCTACTCTGACGACTCCCAGGACACCCTGAGTGACGGCTTCCCAAGCTAGTCCCCCATGCTGCAAATATACCCGTGGTCTTGGCTCCCAGCTGCGCTTCCTTCCATGGTACTAGAGACGTTTCAGCCCACTCTGAATCACTCAAAGCCATTAAGCCGTCTTCATTTCCTACTCCACCGCTATCTATCTGCAGACTTCCAGGGAAGGAAATAACGCTGCTTTTTTTATTGGCCAACTGGGCCAGCAATGGACAGAGCCCCGAGCCCCTGGTCTGGGGACAAAGGGGATAAATCTATAGCCCGCTGGTTAGGAGACTGCTTTGGGGATGAAAGACACTTAGGATCAATTAATTTGTGCAAGTCTGGAAGGTCAGCAATCGCTTTGCCTTCATCCACCTGTCCCACCACCCAGACCAGGGAAATCTTAGGGTAGTGGTTCTCAACCGGGGCTACGAGAGGCCTTTCCAGGGATGCCACAGCACAGGCACTGCCAGGGGCACCGCAGCCAGGAGGAAGTGCCCCACGTGCCTGTTTCTGGGAGAGCTTTGACTGCAAAGGGCTGCGGCATGAAGGGGCCGTCCTGCCTGCTTTGGGTTGGTCCGATGACTGTAATGCAGGCAGGAGCACCTCCACCGAGCTCTGCAGGAGAGACGCGCGGGGCAGCCCTCCTTGGTCGTGCTGGCAGCTGCAGCAGCAGCACCCTGGTTGAGAGCTGCTGAGGTAAACTGAGGCAGCGCAATGAGGTGCCACCACATGGGTGAAGAGTGACCCGAGTCCTAACAGGCTGAGACCCACGGCTTTGGAGAAGCCCTGGTCCGGACAAGTTTCCTTGAAAAGTTTGGGGTCGGCAAATCGGTGCTTTCCAACAATGGCTGCGCCAAGAGGCTCCTTACCTGCTGTCGTCTTCCGCACCGCCCTGAGCTTGCGTGACCACATGCGTAGCACATATTCATGCTGCAAAGTTGCTTAGCTAGAAGAAGGCTTCTCAGCCCCGGTGCCATGAAAGCCCATTGAGGGAGCTGCACCGCCCAGCCCTGTGTGAGGAGGTGAAGCCTCTCCTTCCTGCATCCAGCGCCCTGCTCCTTCCCCGGCAGTGCCTGCGGCTGCTCTGCCACAGACACCCACCGCTGCTCCCCTCCCTGCATCCCCGGCTCCCCTCACTCTCCCAGCAATGCCCTCTTGCTGCGGGTGGCTGGGCACGTGCATGGAGCCACGCTTTGCAGCTCAGCTCATGCCCTTCGCTCCTCCCATGCTCCCGGGACCGGCAGGCAGGGTTGTAGGGGGAGTTGCCAGTGTCCGAGACCCCACAGGAGCAGTTTGGCAGTAGAGGCTGCCCCGGCTCCCTCAGGTGCAGACCAGGAGTGATCAGCTGGATCAGCAATTCTCAATCTTTTTAGGTTCAAGACCCCGCTCTGAACCTTTCCTGGATTTAAGACTGTAGCTCAGGGATTCTCAACTGGGTGCTGCAAAATTCATAGGAGGCCCTGGAGGCTGAACAGGTGAAGACCGCTGAGTTCGAACGATGCCGAGAGGCTGGTCCTTAAATTTTTCTACTGTAAGGAAGGGCAAAACAGACCCGCTCTGTTCCCCGGCCTCCGGGGAGGGCTGTACAGCGTCTCGGGAGACGGATGACCACGTCTCCGACAGTTCTGCACAGCCGCCGGTGTCACAAGACTCACTCAGCCAAAATAGACATACTTCTATCATTTTTAATATAAAAAGGATTAAGTTACAATAAAAGTGCCCTTTTCACATACGTACAATGAAGAACACGGTCAGCCAAGCAGGGAAGCAAACTGATTCTTTGTGCGCAGGGGGGCGGGAAAAAAGCGATGAAAGCAATTCACATTTCTATCGCTTCGTC